GGGGCGGGGGGGGGGGGCGTTTAATTCTTCTGAAAAGCTAACATAAAAAAACCCCCCCCCCCCGCCCGCCCGCCCGCCCGCAGCTCTCCAGTTCCCATTTCCTCCCTTCCAGCTCAAGACAGAAACCGATGTGATGACTCTTGTTTTACCCGAAATTCCACCCGGGGCTGCTGGTGCTGCTGGTGCTCGCATTGCCCAATCCGTCTCCTCGCAGAGCAAGTCAGATCTCCCCCGGTCTCACCCTGTTTCCTGGGCGCCCCGGATTACCGTAAAACTCGGAGTGGGTCTGAAACAGACGAGAAGAGAACTTTTGGTCTCGGAAACGAGCTTTGTTCCGGGAGAGAGTCCCTCTTCCTTCCCTCCTGTGCCATAACGTCATTCTCGCCCGCGGCCTGCAGAGCAAGGGGACCCTTCCTTGCAACCGGTGGGTATTAAAAGCATTAATAAATCGGGTCTTTATTTCGCCCCCTTCCGCAGCCAGGCGCGCTCAGAGCGCCGACTCCAAACTATGCAAATCCTCCCCGGCAGCGCCGCCCTCCGCCCTCCCCGCCTGGGTGGGAAAGGGAAGGCGGAGCGAGCCTGCCTGGGAACGCCGCGGCCGGGGCTTGCAAAGGCCGGCGCTCTCCTGGGCTCGGCGGAGCTCCGCCCCGAATCGTGCAGCCGCTGGCTGGAGGGCTTTTCAGGAAGCGCTATTTAAAAGCGCTCCAGAGGAACATGTGAGGGGCTCGGAGGTAGCGAGAGCGGCGCGGGCATCGCGGGACGGGACGGGGCCGGGCGGGACATGGGCGCTTGGTCACGCCGCGAGCGGCCAGTGGGGAGAGCTCCGTGAGCGCCTCTTGGCTCCGGGCTTCGCTCCTCTCCACTGTCGCGCCGGAGTTCAGGACCCTTCCGGGGCTTCGCATTGTTGGAGCTGCCGCCGCAGACTCGGGTAACTTCTCGGGGCTTTTGGAAAGGGGGCGCGGACGCTGGTGAAGGGGAGGGGGCTTGGGTTTTTGTTTTTTTTGCAACGCCCTTCCTTCCCTTACCCAGTCGTCGTCGATGGAGCCGACAAGCCTCGGCTGGGGTTGCGGAGGGGGCCGGCGCCGGGCTCGTCAGGATTCCCGTGGAAGGGTTATCCCCCCCCCCCCTCTGTCCGGCTTGCGCGCTGGGCTTTGTGGTCAGCCTTCTCGGCGCCCCAATCCTGCCTGGCTTGTTGCTGACTCCAGAGAAAACCTCCTTTTGATTTCGGCGCCGAGTGCCTTCCGAGGGGAGCCGCGATCCCGGGCGCGTTTACTCGGAAGCAAGCCCTTCGGTCGCTCTGGCTGCCCTTCTCTAAAGGACGGGGGCTGCAGCCGACGGGAAGGCGCTGCTGCGGAGTGCGCGGTGAGCTGAAGGGAGGGAAAGGGAAGGAAAGGAAAGGAAAGGTCTCCCTGCGTGGATTTAGCCCTGAAAGCGCCATCGCTGGGTTTTCTTCGCATACCTGCTAAGATGGACTAGAAACCCCCACTTTGTCCCTAATTGTGTTGGAAGAGTGCAAAGTATTGGCGGCGGGTTGGTCTCTCTTAGCATGAGGCACCCCCCCGGAAGTCCACTTTTAATGTCTTGGTCCCCCCCCCCAAAAAAAATAAACATGGCTGTATCCTTTTAATCCTAGCATTAGAAGAGTTTCGGGAAGTGTGATGCATGATGAATGTATGGAATGTGTGTCTTAGGACTTGGTGATGTTGTTCCCTCCTGGTTCCTGGAACGAGTCATCCTTTCTGTCTGGACGATCTTGTGTCCCCGCACAGGATGTTTGACCGGGGCGGGGGGGGGGGGCGG